AATTTGATGATGATGATGAAAAAGGAAGAATTCAGCGTACAGTAAAGCGGCAAGATATGACCAAAGGAAAGTATGGACATGATGGTATTACCCAAACATATACTGATCCAGCTGATGGAACAGTTTATATTTGGGATAGAGAAAAAAACGCATGGTTTCCTAAGGTAAATTATTATAATTCTGACTTACTMCATTGTGTATTCTTAATAGCTCCAATTGGCTAAATTTAGTGACTTAGTGTAGTACATTTTAAACTGTTGTATACATTGAAAATATATAGAATACAGATTACTTGTAGGTTCCATAATATTCCCTAAACCCTGAATACCTAAGTGTACTTTTCATTAAGAGGACGTCATACTCGCATGACGTGTTGTCTCCGTCTTAGTCATTTAAATTTTTAAATGAGTTACGAGTTTGTAAAGTATGAGTTATTTAAAATGCACATAACTCATTTAAAAATTAAAATATCCCAAAAAAACCAATGAGATAACACAGATAATGTTTTTACCTAGAAGTTTGATAATGGGTCAATTCACTCTAATGTCAAAACTAACAGTACACTATTGAAACTAGTGAACAAAAATTTGATAAATAGAACATTTATACGACGGAGACATCACATGGAGGTGCAATGTCCTCTTAAAACTATATACCTAATACAAAGCCTTGCYTCTAGATTAAGTTTTATCATAAGACTCACATTTTTATTGATATTTAAATAACTATAATAATTAATAATACAGATCAATATAATAGGTACTTTATTTATAATAAAATAAAATAAATAATATCTTTTCTAATTATAAAGTATTAGATACAATATATGGTTCACTTTTTATAGTCCAGAGTCCAGACTATACAAACTAGAGTCTGCAATTTTGATCCGACACAATAAAGAAATCTATAGAAATGACTTATATCACTGTTTGGTATTTGTTAACAATTTAATCAATAAGAAAACATAAACATGTTTTAACTGTACATGAATCGAAGATCTAATGATAATGAGATTTTTAGCTAGATCTAAACTATATATACATTGTTATTAATTTATAATCTTATAAATAATTRTGTATATTTAATATTTATTAACATTGTGATAGATCGATGATGATTTTATGGCCCATTACCAACTTAGCTATGGATTCAATTCAAATGATAGTTCTACTGTAAGTGTAAATAGTACAAACACTTTAAAAACAAATGCTATCGGAGCTCAAAGTAAAGAAAATCAATCTGAATCTACCTTAAATGCTTCAGATGTAAAGCATGAACCTGAAAAAAGGAAACTCCCGCAACCTTCTGAACCAAGTAAATAAAAATAAAATACATTTATTTTTAATTGATGAAAATGATTAATTTTTTTACTTATTTATAGATTGGTTTGAGATCGATGAAGAGCATAATACAAAAGTTTATGTCTCAAACTTACCACTAGATATAACTGAACAGGAATTTATCGATTTAATGCAAAAATGTGGATTGATCATGAAAGATGTTGACAGTGGTCAAATGAAAATTAAGCTTTATACTGAGAGAGGTACAGACATTCTTAAGGGAGACGCTCTTTGTACATATATAAAGGTATTATAAGTATTTTTGATAACAATATATCTAAATATTAGGTTGTTTTAAATGTTTGCAAAATGTTTTTAGAAATTTAAATATCGAAAATAKAAATATGAAATACAATGTACTGATAATCAAAATTAAATTATAACCATTTGCTCTAGCTATTTTGTTTACTAGTTATAAAGATATCGATACCTAAATTTCTTTTTTGATATCTTGATATTGCATATAAAACAATATTGATATAAATTTAAAAATATTGTTGAAGAATCCTACAGTAATTGATATTTTAATAACATTAATACCTACTTTCTTATTAATTAAAATACACAATTTTTATTTATTTCATTTTTGAAAATTATTTTTAATTTATAATTGATTATGAACATATTATAAGTGTTTAAATTGGTTATATTGAAAATTGCTATTTTATTAAACTTTTAAGCAAAAAATTGATTTATTGAACCAAAATTTTATTTACATATACA